CACAGATCTCATTTACCTTTCATTGCCAACTAAAGCATCTCTGCTCACACCCTTATGGAAGTTTGATGGTGTCTTAACAGTTAAATGATGGGAGCAATAGTTTTAAGGCAATTTAGTTACAATGGTTTTTGTGATTGTTGTTTATGTTAATATTTTGCAACCCACACAGGCATCCTTAATAAACAGCAAGCTACACATTTAAACAAACATACAGGGATATCCAATTTTTAAAGCAGGCCTACTGAAATCAATGAACTCAAGTAATGAGTCCATTTCAATGGGTCTGCTTCAAGTATGATTGGTATTTCGCAGGTTCCTAAGCAGTCTTCAAGAGGCACCAAACCAAACCAAACTTGCTTAATTACAGTTTTGTTTCATGTATCTTTAGACCAAAAGTGAAACCAAACTAGTGCATTCCAGCACTCCTTCCTAACAGCCACATATTACCTTCCAGCTTTGTACTGGAAGCAGGAAACAGCCCATGTCTGAGTTTGGGTACAGTTGAGGAAGGACTCCCATTTTCCACAACTGACTATAATTTCTTGGTAGGCTTGCCTCCATTTTTGAAAACTTCAGTTGTATGCCAAAACTTCAGGGCTATAAGAGTTAAGGAGAATGGAAGGACATCAGGTTGTTTTATTGCTCTTAGATTGCCTGCAATACAAATAGTTCACAAATTCAGGTGAGGTGACACATAAAGTAATTGTATGTGGAATGCTCAGATGTGTACAATGTGTACATAATGGATACATTGAAAAACTGCAAGTTAGGATGAGGAGGGGAAAGAAAAGGCAATCGTGGTCAAACATAGCTATTTATTTTTCTTCTTATAAACAGCATTCAGTTCCTTACTGAAAAGCCTAGAATTTATATATATTTTCATCCCATCACTTACAACACAATCTGTATACATTATTTACATCTTTCCAATACATGTGTTGCAGAATTTCAGACATTCAACTTTTTTTTAAATCAAAAAGCTGTTTTCATTTAAAACAAGTATTGATCAATAATGACTACAAACTGAAGTAATATTGGCACAGTCTGTGTACAGTACAGGTCTCGGTGTTGCATTTTATATTTTAAGCCTATTTGTCCAGCTGCTTTTGAAGTATTTAAAAGAAGCAGACATCATAGTGTTGCATCTGCAATACCTTCTTGCTTCCAAAAAGCAGGCCCAACACCAGGTTCAGAGAAGGGGTCACTGAGTGAGCTCACACATGAAGGCAAGACTGATACAGCATAAAATCAAGTACAAGGGAAACCAATTTATGCACCCAGAACAATTAAATGGTAAGGCTTTTCCTGTACTGCTTCTAGCTGCCAAGGGGAGAGACAGCTGCATGCGTGAATACTCCTGCCACAGCTTAAACTCTTTACAGGTGGAAAGCACCTTTAGGAGATGGTTTGCAGTTTAAGCATTCTACCCAAAATGCTGCTTTTTCTTTTGCAAGGAAATCCCTCACCCCGCTGCCCAACCCCATGATGATGCAACTCCTTCCCCTTCTTACCATCACCAATTGTAGCCTGAGGTTGTGCAGTCCTACAAGCTAGACTGCTTGATTATGCTGGCTGGACAGACCTAGCCTGATTCAGCAGGAATCTGTGGCCATAGCTGATGTGTGCTGTGCAGTGCACATCAGGAACCTCCATGCTCCTGGATGCTCCCTGTTAGGAGAGCACAAGCAAGTGGTCCTATATTTTATCTAGTCTCCTGTCCCGTCCCCCCCCCCCAACTGCAACTTAAGGCTTTGCCAGTTATAGTAAGAGTTAGGCAGGTCTGTCTGCGTGTATCAGGTTTACCAATGAGTAATATTTACTCAAGCCTTTTAATTTCACAATACAAGTTAAAATGTATTGATTTTATGGCAATATTTAGCAAACACAACATCTGTGAATAAATGTCTTCAAAATGGAACCAAATGACCTTTCAAAAGATTTGTGTCCCAGAATGACCTAGTTATACATGTACAAAAATAATGAGTACAGTTTAGTGGCATAAAAAATTAATTTCCCCTAAAAATACAGTTATCTATGAAAAAACTATTGAAAGGACAGTGTTCTTGGAGAAGAAAAAAACCAAGCAAACGAAGAGTTTCAAAAGTTGAATTACTTTGCCATTTTAGGAGGGAACTGAATTTCAAAAATGAAACTATGTGTACAACTGGCAGAAATAAGATGCCCAACTAAACTTTTACTTAAATTTAAGTATCTCACTCCTAAGGTGGCTAGTGGTTCTATCGATGCAGTCTTAGAAACCCTAAATAGTTACCTATTGAAAGAAATGCAATGGAAAGAAATGAAAATATAAGTAACATGGAATGTTGGCAGTTGAAAAATTGGCAGGTCCACCTTCTTGTTTTTATTTAATATGAAAGAAGGAATTTCACCTATAATATAGTATTCCAGGGGGAAAGAATAACATGTCAGCTGGTTTAAGATATTCCCATGCTGATTTTTTTTTTAATTAAAAAAAATCTTATAACTTTGTATGGCAATTCAAGGGCAAGAGCTCAAGGAAAAGAGAGGGGAAATCTGAAAAGGTAAGAAGAGTCAATAGCAGCAAATTGCCTTTTGCCTGTAAAGGGAACTTCAGAGAGAGATTTCAGTTCTAAAGATTAAAGAGTCTCTGGTTTTTCTGTCTTAAAAGCAACTGCAAATATTCAGAGTTCTAGATTGCACTAGTAAGCAGTAACAAAAACTTGACATGAACTTACAGAAGAGCTATTAATCCTTTTGAAAGCTTTCTGGCTAAAGCTGAGTTACCACTAAAATATGGTGGGACCATTTTTATATTTACTGCAATGAACATGGATCCCTGACACGAATATGCAAAGGAGACATACAATTTCTATGGTCAGAATTAAAAAAATCTGTCTTAACAATGTTAAATCCTTGTTCACTGGCCTAAGAAAGCACAACACAACGCTTTATTGGACTTTGCATCAACTTCCTGACCATCAATTTTACTCTGTCTCATCAGATTGAGGAAGGTTACTCCTGAAGTTATTTAACCCCATCACCAAAACAAAGAATCACACTGAAAGCTGAAATAAGAGTAAACTGGTTCAGACTTTTGAAGCTCCTTCGCTCTTCCTCCACAATGTAAAAGAGTGTTTAAAATGCAATGGTGGCTGTGACTATATTCCCAGGCCTGAATATCCAATGTTTAATATATAAAAAAGCAACCTGGCATTTAGCAGAGTATCCCTTCAAGATTGAAACCCAGATCCAGACTATAATTTTGTGGATTTCAAATACTAAGGTGTTCAGTTTTCAAAATCCTGGTTCAGATGAAAAAAATCAAGGAGACCTGGATTACGTTTGAATGCATTGGTAAAATAGTATATATTGTGTTTGAAGGCCATCACCGAAAATGTAAAAGTTCCCAATGCAATACAAAGATATACTCTGTGTTCAATACAATGAGATATCTTCAGTGTTTTCGTTTTCAAGTTTAATGAAATCAACAGAGTTTAACTAAATGTACTCTCAGTGATCTCCAGCCTTTATTATCCAACCAAGAAGTCAGCAAACGAAAGCAAACCAAATTATCCCCCCCCTACAATGAGCATTTGAAACTTAATACACTCTCATGTACCTTTATAGAACAGACTTACCTTATAGAAGGTTCACAACAGTCCCTAAAAAAATTGTGTGTGTGTTTGTGTGTGTGTTAAATTAATATTTCAAGGGATTGAAATTGCTCATCAGTGGGAAACATTTAAATAGTAACTTCCTTCCTTATAAACTGCTGTCTGTAAAATCCAATTTTTTAAAAGGTCCTCAAAAATCTATTTAAATATTTGATCTCAGAATGGTAAGCCTGACTTCTATAAAATCAAGCCTGGACATAGATTAGCATATGTAATACCATAAAAGATTAGCATATGTAATACCGTGTGTGCATATTAAGTAGTACCCAAACTGCTGGTCATTTATTTTGCTAAATCTACATGCAGAATTATGGTGCTGCATGCAAATGTACATTAGGTACAATGAGCAAGGGCTACCTAATTATCAAGGTGAAGTAAGCCTAGATGAGTTCATGGCATTTCTTGTTTTTCCTTTATGACTGAGTTACAAATAATTCAAGACCACGTCTTAAGCTCAAGAGCATGTTGAACACTGGATAATGCAGTGTTTTAAAACACACATTGTGCATAAGTAACTTACACACACTGCAAAAAACATGCTATGGGAAGGTGTTGTGCACACAAGATTTTAAAAGGGACATGCATGGGCACACAGCTTATGTCTGAAATGCATACTCAATAAGATACCACTTTGTGAATTTGCAGATTCAGATCAATTTCACCCAAGGAAGGCTATCTCTATACTACACAGAACTCCGTTTTAAATCATTCTGTGCAAATTGGTTTAAGAACATCTGAAGAGTATGATGCATCAGCAAAAAAACCCAACATTTTAGATTTAACACTATATAATCAGAGAAGTGGCAAGTTGCAAATGTGCAAGAAAGATCTGATTGTATATAGAACTCTGAATTAAACCTGACAATCTTATGAACATGTGGGAATCAGAGACAGCTCATGTTCTGAACTTCTAAGAATGAAAAGTCTTGGGTTTCCCAACGTGCTATCAAAAACATCCACAAACCAACAGGTGACGGTTATCTGGGTGCCTGGTTATAAGGTACTGGGTCATCTCATTTGAAAGGAGGGAAGAAACAAAGAAAGAGTGACAAAAATACAAAATATGTGTGAGTAAAAGTAAACCGAGACATCTAAAAACATGAAAAAGTGGTACTGTGTGCCATATAAGAAAACTGCTGCATTTGGGTGTACAGTTAGGACTGCAGTGGGACTGTGCGCTTAGGATGAATGGAATGGCAAGTGTTCCATACGACAAATGGATTGAGGCAGTTTGCAACTAAGGAGCCCACACTTGGTACATCAAGTGAGATTTCTGCCACTCGCAATAAAATGACTATGGTGGATTTAAAAATATTTTTAAAATCCTTGTTAACACCACTGTTGTTCTCCGTAAACAACTTCCCCTTGTTTCCTCTTGATGCTCTGGCAAGGCTACTGATTTATACGGGTAAGAAAGCTTACAGTACAGTTTGACCGCCTGTGATCATCAAAATCAGGCTGGCTAATCTAAAGGAAAGTTGAATGTTTGAAGAACAAATGCAAGCAACAAAGAAGAAAGTGGTCAACCCCCAGGCTGTCCTTAGTCCTCCACAGATGCAAGACGTTGGGTGGGTTTCTGAGGACATAAAAGAAAGAAAGAAAAATGAGCCCCCCTCTCTCCCCACCTCCTGTAGCCCACATTCATCTCTAAAGGCATTGTTTTGCATTAAAAGCTGGAGATCACTTATAGAAGTTATGGCTTTTTTAAAAAAAGGTTTACACATATTTATTTATATCTAACAAGAAGTGTAAGTCCTGGGTAGCAATTTGTGTTTTCTGGTTCCAGCAATGTTCTTTGTATGTGCTTTGTACCTCAGAAGAGAGTCTTGCCAAGGCACTTAGAGAATGTTAAGTCTCTTAAAGGACTTTCTGAGAATGGGCTGCAATTGGCAATGCAGAACCCATACAACCAGCAGTGTCACATTTCCCAACAAGCATGTATTTTTTTCCCTCTCCTTTATAAACACTCGACATCTGCTAAAAGAAGATTACACAACAAACAATAACAGAAAGCCATTTACTGTGTGTGTCTCACTAAAGACAAACGAGTTCCTCTAATAAAAGCACAGAGAATGGATCTAGGTTGCCCAAATAAAAAACAAGAACAGGTTTCCTTTTCTTTCTAAAAACATAAACAAAAATTTAAAAGGCTGCAAGCCTCTTCACACGCTTGCTCAGGAGTAAGTTCCATGGATCTTAATCAGTGTGCTGAGGATTGCAGCTCAAATCCCTAAAACACCACATGCCTGCTAAACCAAACAAGTGATTTGCACAAATTCACTTCTGCTTATCTGTCCTTTGAAGTGAGTTTTTCAATCAGTTCTTGAAGTGGAGCAAGTTCTCTTCTGTCTATAAGGTTAAATTCCTGTGGAAGGCAGAAAAAGACCAACAATTCAGTTCAACATTTAGCAGGATATCCATTAGTTATCAACAGCATTGTTTTACCCTATGTAACTGAAAACACAATTATCTTACGCTGGAAGTAAAAGCATTCAACACAGTTTTTAGGAAGAACAAAGATGAGGGCAAGGCACACCGAAACTAAGACTAAAAGAAAGATCCCCATCTGAGAAAGACAGATATTAAAGTTCATTGTGGGGAGATTCCACAGAAAGCATTGCCCTAGCTGCTGCTATTGCAGAGATCAGAAGAGAACCAAGTGAGGCTCTCATTTCACTTCTCTAGGCATGTCCACTTGCCTCTTGTTGATATGTGAGAGGATCACCAGTGTCCCAGTTAGAACTCTAGAATATTCATGAACCTGCACTACTTTAGGCGCAGAATCTACATGTGGGACTGCACATGGCACATGAAGAAATCCAGCAATATTTTTAATTCTAGGTTGGTGGCCAAATGCTACCAAACACCTCTAACAATAGAAGTCTGCCATGCAATCTGTGATAGCACCAATTTCCATTCCACACAGAAGGATTTCAGCATTTCCAAATGGGATATATAATCCTAAAGGAACTGCTTTTACCTCAATCAGATAATCACTTTTACATATTTTTCAATATCCAGTTAAAGTGCACAAAGGTTTCTGGTTATACACATTCACTATTCATGTCACATTAAGGAGATCACAAAAGAAAATATTTGACTGGTGGCTTTACTGTACAGTTTTTGGAACCTGCTAAAACCTTTTTCGTTAGGCAAGCCTACCCAAACATGTAATTTTACTAGGTATATTTTGTTTTTAAAAACTACTAATTTTATTTACCTATTTTTTTAAAAAAAATATGTCAGCTTGTTTTTAAATGTTTAATTCTGCTGGTATTTTTAAATTAATGCTTTATATTTTATAGAACCTCCTTTGATTTTCTGGTTAAGATAGAGTATATAAGTATATTTATTCAAATAAATAATAGCTCCAGACCTTTTCTCCCAATAATACTTCACAGCATTGACATAGAACTTAATTGGGAATAGGGCACAGCAGACAACATTAGAATCATGTTAGAGAGAAAACTTCAAATGTGCTGAAGAATACAAGGATCCCTAGTTACCCGCAATAAGCAACAGAAAACTCAAAAGAGAATGCGAGCCCACGCTCCATCTTGCAGGGCTATATTAAGTCATAGTACCCCATGCCTAGTTACCTGAACAAAAAAGATAAAGTGCTTGAAGGATGTGTTGAGATGTGCCTCTTCTTGCAGCTGAATGACTGGATCAAAGTGCTGGTGGTAGATGTGAGCATAAAACTCTGAAAAGACGCTTTAGGATCGTTTAGCTACGACATGAAGTTCTTTGGGAAAGGAACACCTAGAAATCAACAAAGCAAACGTCCAAGTGTTTACATTCAAGTCCTACAAAGAACACAGGGTTGCATCCAACAAAACTTCCTGTTCACACAACTATGTCCACTTGCAAAACAGAACTTTCCCCTCTCTTCTCCCTCAGATCAGTTCTGGGGTTTCCCCTAAGCATCCAGAGAAGGATGGGAGTGGGAGCGGGGGAGAGAGAAGAGGAAAGGGGAAGTGGTTCTGTTGCACAAGCAGAAGCGGCCTTTGTGCTGATGAGACAGGTTCATTAGATACAACCCCCAGCTGCTATCATGCTCAAGACTCATCTAGATAGTGGCTTCTTGCTTCAGTGCATAAGCTGTAGCACAATACATGGACCCCTGCAGAAAGCATAAGAAGCCACTCACAAGGACCTTTCATCCATGAATGGGCAGGGAGCAGCACAGGCTTAAACAGCCCACGTTCAGGACTGAGAACCACAAATATCGGAAAGTACCATCTTGCAAGCGTTTTCCAACAGTAATCAAAAACACAACCAGAACTATTCAGCAAGCATGTTTTTTTTAAAGACATACGGTAACTGTATCTTGCACTGATTTAAAATTTTAAGTTTAAAACTGTGATTTTTATAAACCAACGAATGCATTGTGCAGAAGTGAACAAAAATGCAATACCCACACTAGCACAGAAATCACCCTAAGGGAATCGTCCTGTTTGAAATACTGAGTATTTAGCAAAAATAGCAAACCAGTCCTCAAACAACTGGTACTTGTGCTTTCCCTTATTACAGCTTTTTCTCTAGAGGGAAAATAAATACCATAAGCAGAGAAATATTTAATTGCTTATTTTCAAAGATCACTCTTCCTTTTAATTAAGGACTGCTAGAAATTAGGTATGTTCTGGTCTACATAAAGGTAAAGGTACCCCTGGTCCAGTTGCGGGAGTCTTAAAATTAAATCTTGTAAAAAAATTAATTAATAGTGAACAACTGCTGCTTAAAATGGTTACATATATTTTCAAAATCTTATGTTAGTTTCCTCAAGTTAAAAGTTTTTGTTTTCTCCTATCCTTTTGAAACAGCATAGATGTTCAGAGTTTGCAAATTAAACCATCCAGCTTTTATATAGCGGCATATACTAATTTTAAAATTACCTATTTTGATGGGAAGAGTGTCTCATCATCCAGCTGGTCCTGAACCCATGTCATAAGGTAATCAATGTACTTTGGTGCTGAACACTTGATTGGCTTCTTTATGTTTGTCCCATCTGCCCAGTGGTACTCGTATCTGGAATGAAACAGGGTTAAATAAATCTAGGACTGTACACACTAAACAAATGAATTATTGTTTTTATAACATTGGTTTTTATATATAAAGGCCTGCTTCAGGTGTGCCCAAGGGCCTGGAGATGCTCAAGAGAATTATTCTCTCTCTTAATCCCTTCCCCATACACAAGTCTCCTCAGTTTCAAAAGTGATTAGCACAGGAGCAAATTCCCCCCGGGCACTGAGAAGCAGTTGGCTGGCTTCCAAATATATACACATAAGAATTAGAGTGATTATGCACTATATAAGACGTGACATAATTGGCATTTTGCAAAGCTATCCCTACAACCAGCAGGCACTATGGTTCAAGGAGAATTATTGTGCTAACCATGTTCCAATGCCCCAAACCTCATAGTATCTCAAGCCAGAGGCAGGTTCTTCCCCGATATAGCCATGCCCTTAGCTCATGAAATGCTTTTTAATTCCAGAACTTTTGAAGCTAAGTAACACGTGCATTAAACACACTCATTCATGTTCTTCTACTCCTTTTAATCTAAAGCTGACAGTCTAGTTTTATACTTTAATAGCATTGGATTTAAAATTATGGTATTGCATATAGCTGAACTGATGCAAAATGACACATTAAGTGGAATAGTAAAACAGAAAACATACAGCCATGAACCTTAATTATTCCAGAACCTAGTCTCTGATCCATTCCACAGCCTCCTTAAACAGCCTTCTTTTTGATAATCTTAATATTATGCACAGCTCCCTCAAATTTTCTCTTTGTCTTGTTTGGAGTGAAACTACTGTATTTCAGCTCAGCACACATTTCCAGGATAGCAAACAACAGTGTAACAAATCAAACACAAGACACCCATGGAGAGAGCTTCAATGTATCTATGAACCAGAACACTGTAATTAAGCAATGTTTTCAGAACTCTTAGATCTTAGGGTAGGAAACTATGAATTGGCTTCTTTAAAGCCAATGCAGTAATGATACACAAGCAATTTTTTTAAAAAAAAATCCCGCTAAAACAGTTATGTATTCCACAAGAACCGAGTAAAACGATAAATGCTAAACCCACTTTCTTCTGTATTACATCGATATTCAGAATGGAGGGCCACTTTGGAAACTGGTATCTCGCACCTATATTCACCCATTTAAAGTTTTCAGAAATCTATCAGCTGAACAAAATAGGAAGATCTGAATGAATGCCAAAAACTGGCTTCTGAACATGTGGAACATTTTGGGCTGGAGACAAGACAACAGTCGTCAGGGGAGTTGAAATGGTTAGGAGGAGCCATCAAATCCCATAGCGTACATCAGGGTTGTCAAACCTGCAACTGTTAGACAACCAAATTGTACATAAAGAGACCAGTAAAGCCTGTTTTGCACCTTGTAAGTTCAAGTGCAGTTTACTTCCAAGTTATGTGTGCATAAGATTACAGTATTAACCAAGGTCTGCACACCCACTTCAAACCAGTTACATATCCTGGCTTGTGGCCATTCTTTTCTCTAAACAGTGGCTTTCAGACACAATAATTAAGGAAAGCAACTGATAGTGAAATGTTATGCTTGCACATGGCATCTGAATAGCTAACCCAAGAAAAACAGCTGCTTAATTGTAGTGAGTAAGAGGCAACCAATGCCTCTTATTGCAAACGGTGCAGTGTAATAACATGTCTGTGGGTAAAAGATTTACATATCCACCTTCATTTTTAACCATGTTCAGCTTTTGCCAGCTAATAAATTTGGAAGAGATCAGAAAAGTCCTTTAATCAAGGTCTCTGTACTGAAAATAAAACCCTGCATCCAAACAACTCTGATTCAACCAGTCGTCAAGATATATTAAGAAACAGAGACAGATCATGCTATTTCCAGATGCATCAGTAGAACTAAAAGGACAAGGCAACTATGTATGTATGTATGTATGTATGCATGTATGTATGTAAAGGGGAAACAAAAGGGGGGGACATATACAGACACATATATTTAATGGTCCTCTCCTGTCTTAACAACACTGCTTAGCGTAGGAGACAGCAAATAGAGGACCCTGAGCCAACCCAACCCACTAGATGGTATTGCTTAATCCCAGTTACCAAGCTTCAGGCAAGTGTGGTGTTGAAGCAGTTGTAGTTGTGGAAAAGGGATTATCTAGTGGGCTACCTTGGGTAGCTGGAAATCGGAGTTAATCACTATCATTTTAAAATAAAAAAGGGTTTCCAGTTCTCAGGGTTGTAGAGATGAAAAACATTGCCGGTAATTTTTGCAATTCAGCAGTTCAAGGTCAGATCATGGCCTTCAGGACTATTAAATTCCTCCTGCTCTGCTCTGCTCTCACTCACACTTTCATTGACCTCCCACCACCAAACAAATCTGTAAGGAATTCGATCAGGCTAAAAGCAAAAACATGAAACACAGAACTTCAGCTTCTTTGTAAATATAAATTTCAGGTTTTTAACTTACTAAGAGTAGCAATTATCATTGTTTAAAACCCCCAATTAAAAATGAAAAACCAGCAAGTATTTTATGTCTCATAGTTTCCAAAAGTCGCCATAACTAAGCATTCTTACTTGGACCTGCCAGACATCACTGGGCAGCTCTCTTCTGTGCAGAAGTCTGTAATTGTCCCATAAAGCATGTTGATCTGGTTGAAGAAGTCCACAGCTATATATATAAAAAACAGGAACGATTTCAATTTGGCAGATAAAAAGTGTGTGGCTTTCAAATTGCAAGCTAGACCATCCACACAGCTTCTCAGCAAAAGTACTCTGCTGTGTTTGATATGTTACTATACAAAGGAAATGCCGGTTCAAGGAAAACAGACTAAGACCTCCAGAAAGACTCACCATAACAAGATAAGTGTACTAAAATGGTTTTGAAACTATATAATCTATGTTTGTTAAAAGTGGTGAAAGTACAAATATGCAATCCCCTGGCTTTCCATTCCTTCCAGTGAAATAGGATCCTTAGAGTCAAACCATCTACAACTGCTAAGCACACATCCATCAATGGCTCAGTGTCTACCTCATCTCTTAACATGCTTTGCTACCTTTACATCCCTTGCTTGGTCGTTCCTCGTCTATGGTATCAGGATCTCTGTCTGGAGTTTATCCCCTGGTGTTATTGAGCAGCATGTCTACCAAAGCAATGCTAAGAAGGCAAAGTTCCTTCTGTTGACTGCTTTATCATTTATTTACAACATTTCTATATCTTCATCAGTAATACCAGGGAGACTCACAACAATACAAACATGTTTCTCATAAAAGGTAAAGGACCTCTGGACGGTGAAGTCCAGTCGAATTCAACTATGGGGTGTGGCGTTCATCTCGCTTTCAGGCTGAGGGAGACAGCATTTGTCTGCAGACAGCGCTTCCGAGTCATGTGGCCAACATGACTAAACCACTTCTGGCACACAAAACACCATGAGTGCCAGAGCACATGGAAACGCCGGTCACCTTCCCTCTGCAGCAGGTACCTATTTATCTATTCACACTGTTATGCTTTTGAACTGGTTTGCATAAAACATTATATTAAAATACAGCAGAATGCAAAAATCACAACAAAACAAGCCAAATTATACTAAAAGGGTGGCACTGAGAACCAGCAAATGTCTGGATGCATCAGAAACTTAATGAAGTTGTGCAAAGCCTTAATAAAGGGGGGATGATTCCATAAACTGTGTGCCAT